AGGGCTTCGGGTCCATCCACAGCCAGGACTCGGCCCCTCATCCCCTCCCTGTAGCCCTGGCTGCTGCAGCCCCACCTTGGCAGCTTTTCCAGGATGTCTCCTGCCAGGACAGCCAGGAGGGGTGTGGAAAAGCAGAGCGAATGGATCGGTGTAACTTTCTGGTTTAGCCTGTGCCAAAGAACACACATCGTCCCTCGTGCCAGTACCTGGGGTGGCTCAGCCAGCAGCTGCTGGAGTGTCCATGTGCAAGCCATGGAAAATCTTCTCCCTTCGTAGTGAAATACTTGCCCTTGTTAAATCTGGCTACCACTTTGGTCAAAACCGGGTAGTAACAATGTGATTGCTGCCATTTTTAAGGATGGTGAGTTGTTGGGTGCAAAATATCTTTAATATTGCATTTAGTATTATATGCCAAAATAATGGCAAATAATTTTTAACCTACTTCCCTGAGGTTTAGGCCCACAGATATTTCAGGAGGGCTTTCTTGGGTTGATGCCATTACAGATTTACGGGAAATCTGGCTTTTGAAATTTTAACCAGTGCCCAGAACTTGCACAGCTCTTTAATTTTTCAAAGTATTGCAGAAGTTTCTAAGTCTCGCAGCTCTGCCACAGGAAGTGAGCATTATCCAAAAAGAAAAACTGCTACACAGCTCTAAGGGAAAGGACCTGGGAACAGTGTGATTTGGAGTTTCTCGTTCCCTTTTCACGTGGTCAAAATGCTTTACAAACTTGCTGTTTCAGTTACTCCCATCGTTAAAAGTGGATTTCCTTTACTTTGTTTTTCTTTTTAAAAGAAGGAGTATTCTTAAGGAAACTCAGGGTATTTACTCTGCAGAGCTTTAAATTGAATTAAGCTGAATTAAGTTTAATCCAGAAGCTTCATTCTGCATGTAAATAAATATTCATGAGCATAAGTAATCATTCCATGGATTTCTATTAATTAACTCCTTTGTACCCAATTTGTTAAGAGTGGATTGCAAAAATAAACCCCCTCAATACAAAGGAATTGGCTAAAAATTAAAAAAAATAGAAAAGGTAAAGAGTTCTTTCAAAGATAACTCTGCAGAGACTGGCTGGTTTTCTGAAAGGTGGACTTTCTCATTCTAAAGAAAATTGTCCCTGATATTGTCCATGCTATTTTAACGTCTCCCCATGACCCCAGTGAAAATACAATTAGGGAAAAAAAAAGAAAAAAATATTTAAAATCAGATTAATTGAAAAGTAAAATGAAACCTAATGAATTATTTAGACCTATCTTCATGGGCAGGACATATTTTCCATAGGTGAAGCTCTGTTGAGCATGGTGATGCTTCAAATTTGGTGGATAGTACTGGGTTAAAAAGGTGACTATGATATTAGATCATATGAGACCCAGTGTGCTGTGAGTTTACCAGATAAACCCCAAGGTACTGATTTTAGACACATGAGACTTTGCTGAAGGATGTCTTTGGTTGTAAAAGGAAATTAAAGACCCTGATATATACAGGGGATATGACATTGTGGGCTACTATAAATAATGTATTTTGGAAAGTTTGTGGTCAGGGTTTTCTGATGTCCAGCACCATAGAATATTAGGGAATTTAACTTAACCCACACTTCTACAACCCACTTCTGTGTGCTGAAATTTTCCGGCTGGTCTTGCCAATGCAGTGAGCTAAACCCAAGCCCTGGGTCACAGGATGTGCAGGGGGCACCATGGAGGCCACTGGCCTCCCTCTGCAGCCTGATCCTGCAGGTTCAGTCACAAGGCAAGCAGGGTTTTGGGAAGTGTCACGAATCTGGGAGTGTCCCCTTTCCCTCCAGGAAATTCTGGCTCATGATTCAGGTAGCATGAATGAAAGGCTGCAATTTTCTCTGTTTCCTTTCCCTGCACAGGCTGGTGGAAGGATCTCAATGTGCCAGCTGATTGCTCACTGTTGCCAAAACCGCCTCTCTCCACCAAGAGCTTCATGGGATGGAGGAGGTGGAAAGCCCAGGTGTTACAGAGCTGTTGACTTACACAGTGGGCAGGATGTGCTCCTGAGCAGAGACTCCCATGAGCTGCTCAGGGTCACCTCGTGTTACAGACGGTCTTTTAGGGACTCAGGCTCTGAGGTTTCCCTGTCACCATTAGATACTACACCCACCACACAAAAACAGAGTCAGCAAGCACACAGTGGTGGTGTTAACAGAAGGCTTAAGTATGCCAGAATTGTACAAATAGGTCCGTTAATTTGTTTCTACAAAGTACACGTGAACAGTTTCCCAGTTTGTGTTCCCGTGTCCTGGGAGTTAACTTGCTGCAATCTTCCCCTACAGGTCTTTCACCTCCGCTTTCCTGTTCTCCATTGAAGTCCAGGTAACCATTGGTTTTGGGGGCAGGATGATGACAGAGGAATGTCCCTTGGCCATCACCGTGCTGATCCTGCAGAACATTGTGGGTCTGATCATCAACGCTGTCATGCTGGGCTGCATATTCATGAAAACGGCGCAAGCCCACAGGCGGGCCGAGACCTTGATTTTCAGCCGGCAGGCCGTCATCGCGGTTCGCAACGGCAAACTCTGCTTCATGTTCCGAGTGGGAGACCTCAGGAAGAGCATGATCATCAGCGCCTCGGTGAGAATCCAGGTCGTGAGGAAGACCACGACCCCTGAAGGAGAAGTCATACCCATTCACCAGGTAGACATCCCTGTGGACAACCCCATCGAAAGCAACAACATTTTCCTCGTGGCGCCGCTGATCATTTGTCACGTCATAGACAAGCGGAGCCCTCTCTACGACATCTCCGCCGCCGACCTGGCGCTCCAGGACCTGGAGCTCATCGTGATACTTGAAGGAGTCGTGGAAACAACGGGCATCACGACGCAGGCCAGAACCTCCTACGTGGCTGAGGAGATCCTGTGGGGCCACCGCTTTGTGCCCATCGTCACCGAGGAGGAAGGCGTGTACGCAGTCGACTACTCCAAGTTTGGCAACACCGTCAAGGTGGCGGCGCCGCGTTGCAGCGCTCGGGAGCTCGACGAGAAGCCCTCCATCCTCATCCAGACCCTGCAGAAGAGCGAGCTGTCCCACCAAAACTCCCTGAGGAAGCGCAACTCCATGAGGAGGAACAACTCCATTCGGAGGAGCAACTCCATGCGGAGAACCAACTCCTCCCTCATTGTGCCCAAAGTGCAGTTCATCACGCCCGAGGGGAGCCAGAGCGCCTCGGAAACGTGAGGCACAGCTTTGTGTGAGGCCGCTGGGCTTTGGAAGGAGGAGACACCTGTGGTGGTTTTGCCTAAATTTCCTTTTACTTCAGAAAACGAGAACATGATGCAGAAGAGAACCGTGCAAGAACTATTTATTCCATTACTTAGTGAAAGCACCACCTAATGGCATAAGAAAACACTTTAGCACTTAGTGTATGAATTAATAAAAAAATGGCACGTACACTGAAGAAAGCACAGTTCACCCATGTAATATAATGTGTATTTATACTTGTTTTAATGGCACGCTAATTGTTTTAATCGTATTTTTCCTAACAGGGGTCTCTTTCTTGTCTTCTGCTGGGTGTCACAAGATGTGGTGTTTTCCTGTGTAAGTGGGTTACCTACCTGCAGGCAGAAGTAAGTTCTTTTACCAAACTTCTGCATACAGCTCCCATGGATTTTGTGCAAGATATTTGGATGTTGATCTTTTTTGGGTGTGAATTCCTTAAAAGGAGTAGCTAAATCCCTCAATGATTTCACTGGAGGAGAATTTTACCTTCATTTTCCAGGCTTTTTCTTTTCCTTGGTTTGTGGTAAGGGCATTTTGAGAGCCCATTCGGGTCAGGTGAAGTGACCTGTCCATCCCACAGGAAAACTGGTACCACTCCGGGCAGCACTGGCAGGAAAACCAGTGGAACAGCAAAGAGATACTCGGCTGCAGGACAACACACATCTTAGTGTAGCTGTAGCCCAAGCTGAGAAACTCCAGTCCTCCTGGCCACTACCTGAGCATCTGTTTCACTGAAATGATTCAAGATGGAAAAACCAAATGCCTCTCTAACATCCTCTTCATGTCGGTGGAAGACCAAATCCTGTTTTGTTTCCTCTTATAGATTCATACATGGAAGACAACACATGTACATCCTTCACTTACGGTATTTTTCATAGGATTAAGTCTGTTTGCTCCAGCAGAAGGTTGCATTTTGCCAGTGGGAATTCATGAATGGGAATGTGAGGGAACCATGCCAATAATATTAGAGAAAGTATTTGCAAAACTATCCGAATAATTTTCAGGGGGACTTGGGTGCTGCTGCTGCTGAATTACTTTTTTTTTCAGCAGCATCTCACTTGTGTTTTTATATAACCTGGCATTGAGAATTGGTGGTAAACAGCTTTTCTCTTTAAATTTAAACGGGCATTTTTTACCTAGAGCCATCCCAAAAATGTCGTCACACGTTTTTCTACAAGAATATATAAATGTATGACAATTAATTGTATCACATTTGGTAATGCTAAATTGATACCTGATTCTTTTCCTTTGTGAATAAGAAGCGTAATTATGGACAAATTCACATTCAAATTTCTTTAAAAATTAGTGTTATGTCTGTGGCTCAAGAGTAGTTCTGTCCTTGTATTGACTCTCTGAGCCACTCAACCATTTGAATACTTCTGCAATTTTAAATATTTGCTTATTCCTGTTGGGTACAATAGTCGGAAGCAATGCTGGATTCTCATTCTCCTTGGAAGTCAGTTCATCAGCAGTTGCATGGATGGTTTTTAGGCTTCATACAGCATTAGGTGGAGGCAGGGAGGGACATTGCTCTGTAGTGTAGACTCCCTGCTTTTGGAGCAGGTGCTCTCCAGAACATCAACTCTGACAAATTACTTCTGTCTGAAGCAGTAGCGGAAACTGAAGTTTCTGCTAAAAGCATCCATTCCCTGGCCTGCCCACTAATGTCCAGGAAGAATGGATGGTGAACATCTGGAGATATTAATCTGTCCGTTTTGTGTCCAAACAATGAACATCTGCAGCTTCCAAGAAGAGTCAGAGCACATATACAATTTGTCTCTGGCCTCCGTTTCCAGGGCTGTGAATTTCTTTGAGGTTGTCTGTTTGATACGTGGTTAAGTCAGATGCTGTACAAAAGCAGATTTTCTACAAAATAATAATAAAAAAAGTGACAATTATGATTTCTTCCGCCTCTGATTTTTCCTTATGTCTTTCCTCTTTTCCTTTATATTCTCCATTCATTCTTCTCTACTCTTAGTCCTTATATCCCAGCCTTTTCCACAGTCCTTCTGAGTAATAATTTTATATTATCTCAGTATTCTGTCAGTATTTCAGATGAGTTTTTTTTACCCACAACCATTTTCTCATTTTGCCCCAAGTACATTCTTTATTTCATTTTCACCTAACGTGCTCTGTTTCTTGTCAGACTGCTATAGGGGTACTGATGTTTTGAGACAATGCTAAAACACTCCAGTACGGTGCCAGGATGTTGAACAGATACACAAGGCAGACTCTCGTGTCATGAGTGTCATGTTCACATGTGCTGTGCTCCTGCTCTGTGCAGAAAATCCTTTATTGCAAAGCCCCTTTCTTGAGCAAGTTTTGCAGACCTGGAAGAGGCCAGTGGTATAAGCAGCCAGCTGTTGAGTAGGGAAGAGGTTTTGGGCCTGAGAGCTGCATTCCTCACTGAAAGGACACGTTTCAGACACAGCTTTGCAATATTGTGCCTGCTGAGAGGGGATGAGCTGGCAGGACCTCGGCTCAGTATGTTTAATTATTTATTCTCCCTGGCAACTTTATCAGAAAGGGGCTTTATTTTAAATTTGAAGTTTTCTGTGTTTAATATAAACTGCCAAGTTAAAAATGACGGTTGAGATTTCAAACAAATACTGCTTACAGTTCATATTGACATTTAACCTTCTGTCTCTCTCACTGATAATAATTTAAGAAAGTAGAAGCAATAACATATAATATAAGCATGATCCCTTCACACTTATTTGTGTCCCTGCTGTTCCCATCCCCCTGCAATGTGGTGTAACTGGAACTGCATTACTTGACATTGCTTATTCTGTGTATTTAATATGCTTTGGCTCTTTGAAGAGCCTACCAGGGAGATGTCACTGAAGAGTAAAATTATTTTCTAAGCATAGAAAAGTAATTGCAAAGTCTGTCCAGGACGGGTGTAATGTCTGGGACTGCACTTTATTTTTTCTTTCTAGCTTTCACTTAAAGAACTTCTCTGTTTCAGACAGAAAAAATGGCAGTGAGACCCTTTGTCCTCTTTTTGGACACCCAGAAGATTCAGAGTTAACGTGTTGGGGATGCAGAGAGCAAACAAACACAGACAGTGCTTACAGGGGATATCAAGATTAATGCTCCAGGGTCGCAGCCAACATCTGAGTAATAAGCTTTGGAGGAAACTTTCCCTGTTGGCAGGTCATTCCATGGCTGTCACCTTCAGGATTTCTTATGCTCTCTTTGGAAACATTTTGTGTGAGCCAGGGACAGAAGCAGGGCCTCGACAGGGTGCACCCTGAGGAGGGTGGGGACATCAGGTCTCTGCAGCAGGTTGCTCTTCAAGCCCAAGGGCTGCTGAAGAGACAAGCAGGATAGGCACCTAACCATTAAAAGTTAATGAAAGTGGGATCATGAGCCAATGAGCAACAACTGAATGTGTTTTGGGAGTCCTGGGACACCCTGTCTGGTCCCAACAGCAGCTGCTCAGACAGCCACTGGTGTCCTGTTAGCACAGGCTGCCCAGAGTGGATGCCCCATCCCTGGAAACATTTGAGGTCAGGCTGGATGAGGCTCTTAGCAGCCTGACCTCACTGAAGACATCCCTGCTCACTGCAGGGGGTTTGGACTAGATGACCTTTAATGGTCCCTTTCAACCCCAACTATCCTATGATACTATGGCACTCCTGTCTGCTCAAAGCACCTCTCTTGGGCACCCTCCAGGGCATCCTGCTCTGCATATCAACCCCTAAAACCACTAAACCAGTAAAAACCTCTGTATTACCCCTGGCATCACTGTGGCCTTGTCAAACAATTCCCTCCCTGGACTGCTGCTTCATGGGCACACATTGTACCACAGTGGTTTGCCCTCTCCAATTCAGCTGCTTGGCCCCATCCACAGAAGGGTCAACCCAAGCTTTTTGGGATACTCAAGGCAGCAAGAAAGCCAGAAGTACATTCAGATTTAGTTAATACCTCCTGTATGCAATAGGCCTTTGCCCTAAAGGCAGTGTTACTTTAGGCCATGGGGTCATTTCAGGGGCCCAGACTTGCCTCGCAGCCGTCCTGGATGTATTTCACCCAGCACGTGCCTTATCTGCATAAAGTTCAGGCCAGGAATCATGCTTGTGCTTTTCCACCTGGAAAGCAGCATGGACAAACCATTCTTTCTGACTGAAAAAAGCCCCCCATGGCAAATTCTTCATGTCTTTTCCTCCTTCACAAACTGGAGATTGAGGACGTTTTGTGAAGCCGGTTTCCAAGCACTCCAGTGATTGTCACTAGCAAATGCTTGTTGCTGCAAGCTGCAAAAGTAGTTAGTCCAAGACCAGAAAGGAACTTTGACTAGAGAAAAAAAGTTATATATTGTGTGATGAAAGGAACAAAGCTTTCATTATTTTGACAAAATGCATTCTCTGTGGAGCCTGATATTTTCACAATACTGATGGTGGTTTGGAAGGCATCACCAAGCAATAAATCGTGTCCTACTAAACTCTTGATACTAAACTATTGAATACAAAATAAGGCTGCAAATTCCCACCTCTCTAGCCCAAATTTCCTGGTTTGGGTTGCTTGTGTAGTCAGGTGAGAGTTAACTTTTTCAATCCCAAATGCTTACATTAAAATATTTTCTCCCCTGTATTTCTGTTTACATCACATCCAGACTAATCTAAGCTGATAGACATGAGTTTCTAATACCCCTACCATATTAATTATGCTTCTCAGCCCTATCTCCCTGAATTACGTTTCGTACTTTTCCCTTAAGGGTTCTTTGAACTTAAAAAAAGAAGATTTCTCATGTGATAACTGGACAGTAAAGATAAAATATGCTCCCACATTCCCTTATTGGACAATGAAGAGAGATTTAGCCTGCAGAGACAAGATCTGTGCTGTCCAACAGAAACAGCCACAGAGATTGAGGCACTCACAGTCAGGACACATCACCAAGGGGCTTGGATTAAAAGAAATATTTTAAAATACTAAGTATTCAGTGGGTTTCTGGCTGAGGACTCTCAGAACACTGCTAAGTTATTGGCCAACAGCGAAGGGAATATTCTGGGATCATCAGGACACAGTACAATGTAAGAAAGACAAAAAACATGCATTCAAGGAAAATGTTGTCCATATTTTTAGTTATTTTCACTAATTATTTTAACATTTAGATAATAAAATTCAAAGGGGCAAACAAAAGAATGATGGATACTCTCTTCACTTTAACAAAGGTTTAACACCTTTTTTTTTCTGCTCCAAAGGAGAGTTGATCCATCTGGAGACATTACTCCTACACACAAACGTGCTAGAATTTTCTGGAGCATATGGGTTAATCTCAACACACTTTTCTGGGCCCAGGGCAGGAATAGCTGTGCAGGATGTTATGGGATGATCTAATGATCCCTGCTGCCCTCCAGATTTATGGATAGGGAGAGTTGATGAGTTTTGGTCAAGAGAAAGCCTTCCTCTGAGTCTTAAATTAATCTCCCACTGAGGAAACAAAGAAACAGGGGGAAAAAAAACCCCAGCAGAGTTAGGCATCCCCAAATTGTTGATTTATTTTGACAAATGCATTTCAGTGCTAACTGTGGCTTCTTCAAACAGCATTGACAAATGTCCCTGGGGATAATTTGTTAAAATTAAGGTATCTTATTATTACAGGAGTTTACTTGGCTTTCTACTGTTGTTAAACGTTGGCTTTGTAGCAAGGATGAGAAAGCCAGCTTCTGTGTGAGCCAAAGGGAGATGATATTCCTTGGTTTCATGATCTGAGGTCTACTGCAGAGACCACTAAAGTGAGGGTTGGCACTGGAGTGACTGCAAAGGGCTGTTGTGGTTTGGGGTTCAGTGTCTTCCTCATCCAGGGAACATCGTTGCTTTCCTCAAGTGCCTTTTTTTTTTTGTAACCACAATAGCCATGAAAATTAATTGCATCCTTCCATGGCCCAGCCTCGTTATCCTTCAGGGTATATTTTTTGATGTTAGGTCTTTGATTGTGGGTGATCTGGGTCGGTCTGTCCAAAAGGGGCTGATCCTGCTGACTGTCACGGTTTTCGGATTCAGTCAAGGTCAGGACATGGAGAAAAACTGAAGGGTTGCAACACCCAGTGAAAGAAACTCTGCTGAGTTTGAGTGAGGGCAAGTGACAATTGTGAGCCCCTTGGGTGGTCAGCTTTTCATCTCAAAGCTTTTCAAAAACACATCAAATGCTAATAAATGTTGTCTGCTCAGCCTTAGCTAGTGTTTTAAATCACATTATAAACAGATACTATTCCTGGCTGATCAGATTAAATTGTTTGTGATGTAGCTATTTTTTCCATATACAAAATCCCACTGCATTCTTTAAATTTTGTATTAAATTAAGACAGTAATAAAATATCTGAACTGAAACTCTCCTTCATACTGTCTATACATCCACATGAAAAGTAAAATGGAACACAAGTCTGAATGTTCTTCTTGAAATATTAAATTTAACCTAATTTTAAAGGCATGAGTGTCTTTAACATGAGTTTATATTGGTATTAAGTATGTCATGTTATCAGCCATGGGTGTTTTCCTTAAGGGACCATAATCTGTTCAAATATCAATTCAGATACTCTGGTTAAAGATGAAAAGCAACAGTCAGTGAGCAGAGAGTAAGTCTGTAGTTTGATCAACTACAACAAAATTGCTTGTGATATTCCATCATGTTTCTCTGAAGGTTTGTAGTAAACTGTGTGACTGAGGCCAAGTTTTCCCGTGTGTCCTTTTTCATGGATTTAAAAAAAAATTCCAGTGGAGCCACTAGTGTCCCTTCTGTCAATGAAAGTCCCAGACAAAATGGGCCATCTTCTGTGTTTTGGGTTTTTTCCCTTGCTTCAGTCCTAATAAATGTTTCACCCCTGTTTAGTTAAACTTGGAAACAGTGCAACCCAGATCATACACAAGCCCCTGAAATATTTCCTCACAATAGTTTAAAACCTCTTCTGTTTATAAGTAATGGAAAATCCTGCGTTTAAAATGCAAAGGGCAATGTTGTACATTGCTTTCAGAGGGAGCTGGAGAATGTCCAGGGCTAATGCACTTCAGTTATATCAATTACTAGAGAAGAGGCACAAACCCAGAGAAACTAGAAGTTCGGATGATTAAAATAGAGGTTTCTTGACCATGTACTGAATGGTAAGTGGAACAGTCTTCAAAGCAGAGGTACCAGAAACTTTACCGATGGATATGTTTGGAGTGAAACCATACACAGACATGTACAAGCACAATAATTCCACATGGAAACATTTAAACTAAGTCAACCGTTATCTTTCTCATTTCAGATGTCAATATCTGAACACTCACTCATTGAGAGGCTGCTATTGGTGTCCGTAAAACAGAAATATCATTTTAAGCAGGTAGCCACCCCTTCCACAGGGTTTGTGACTCACTGCAAATCACTCAGCAAGCAACTGGTGATAACTCCTTATGGCTTTCCAACATCATACATCTGTGTATATGAATACATTCTTTCCTATTCCACTTCAAGCACAGGAGCATTAATTCATCAGTAAACCCCTTAAATTTAAATTCTTCTTGGGTACATTATGTAATCAAAGGAGAAAATTTTGTTTAACTTGGTATTTACATAAATATAAATATAAACACACATGCACAAATCTATATGAAGAGTCAAGTGTTTGCACTGCCAGATTCGACAGTAGGGATTCTCCAGGTTAATTTTACTTTGAGTTTCCAGCTAAAAAATTCCACTTATAGCTTAGGCTTCGGCCACACACACACACACACACACACACACACATAAAATCTGTATATATCATGAATCCTTATGTCTCAGAGACCCCGTCATGTGTTTTAAAGAGAAAAAGACCATCGCTGTGATGGACTTCTCTCCCACCCAGGGCCTCAACTAACCAGCTACCAGCTCCATCTCTGTGGCAGACATTAAGAAAGGTCCAACACAGCAGAAGATGCTTTTTTTAATTTGGGACAACAGGCGGTGAAGTGGGAATTTTCATCCTTATTAGGTCAACCTAGCAGTTATTAATGTGACATGATGTCACAGGAGAAGCACTGGTTTGGAGACTGATTTTTGTTTGGAACTCTTTGCAATGTGTTGGTTTAGATTTCTGTGAAATGTCTCAGGGAGTCTCACATAATCATTTTCCAATTTTGAAGTTTTCAACTTGAATTACACGTATGTGTGTAGGGGTGGAGAAAGGCTGGCACATGCCACTGTGCCATCTGGGCAGAAAACGGGTCAGGACAGTTACAAAGTGAAACTTCTCTTTCTTCCCCCATTAGGATTTCCAGGCATTTTACATGGGCACTTCAGGGATGTCATTTGGAGCACGACACAAGGGAAATAAACTGCAGTGGAAAAATGTGGGCATGTACAAGTGTGCACGTGCAAATACACACATGGAAAAATTATTGATGTTTTGTTCCTGAACTTTTTTTGGTGAGGGGAAAGGGAATGATTTTCTCAGTAGAAACAGATCCTTTGAAAAGCTTGCCCATAATAAGCTGGGACATGAAATCACCAAGAGGCTGTGGCATTTCAGCTCAGTAAAATTGCCATACACACAGAGCCATCTGCCCAACAGCATCAGCCATGGCACACACACAGAAGAGGGAAAAAATGTACCTTCCAAAGGGTGAAATGCTCATCAGGAAAGACACAGCAGGCTCACCAAATGGTTTCATTCAGAGATCTGGGTTTTCAAAGGCACACACCGTGAGGGACATGCATTTAAGTCACGAATTCAGCAGCGACCACACAGCTACGTGCTGCCCTGTCACATCAGGCAGGGGCTCCCTTCCAGCTGGGTCGAATGCCATGGCTGTGTGAACTTCACAGCAGCAGCAAGGATCAGCTCTGGATCTTGCTCTCAGAAGCACATGTGCCTGATTTCCCCCCGGGGAAGGCTTGCTCAGAGCTGCCAGAGCACAGTTCAAAGGACTGTCAAAGGAGAAGCAGATTCCGTCTTCCCTTCCATGGCTTTTGCTTTTCCTCTTGCAAAATGATTGATTGTTGCAATGTGAGGGTCTTCCACACGCTCTGAGCAGGAACAGGTCCCTTGTATCCTCTGACTGAGCATGGACAACCTGGATTCTCTCTGGGTAGTGAATGCTGGAACAGTTCCTACGGTGTTGGCTGGGCCATTACGGTGAATCAGATCAACAAAGGGCTGCTGGGCAAAAAAGAGAAAAATGGTAGGACAAGCCACCTTCAGCACACAGGGAGTATTGTAATGAGACAATGACAGGGCAAGGAGGAGACCAGAGATACTGGAGACAGGAGGCTTGTAGGAACACATCATCCAAGGGAGGAGAAGGCAGCTCCTCCATGGAACCAGACTACCTGGGAATGCACTGAAGAAGTCAAGGGATGGCTGGCTTTTAAGGAAAGAAGAACTGAATGTCAGCTGTTCAGTTTTAAAAACATTTCTTACTAGGCAAACTATTCTTTTTGGTAGAATAAATAAACTGTCTTCATGGTTTATTTCAGATCAAAAACTTCTGAAAGGGAGATCTGCAAGTGCTGCATTCCAGTTATTGTGCTTGGAATGATATGCTAAGACATAGGTACCTAATACAGTGTGAATTATAGAGTACTGTCTGCTAATGTGAATAAATATAACATAATTAAAAGACTGGGAATGCTGTTATCCACACATATAGGCAGGCTGTATGGGAATCTGAGCAACCTGGTCAAGTGGAAGGTGTCCCTGCCCATGGCAGGGGGTTTGAACTAGATGGTCTTTAAGGTCCCTTCCAACCCAAACCAGTCTGTGAATTCCATGAAACACCTTAGGCACCTCTGAAATCCTAAACAGTTCAGCAATCCCTGTACACTCATGTTAAGCCCCCTCCAAATTAGGAGGATTCTCAAGGAAGTCTCTGCAGTTAAATATATGCTTAAGGGTCCAGGCAGGAAGAGCACTCCAAAGGAAAAGTAGCACAAATCTGTCTGGCAAGGGAGTTTTCCTAATCCTGAAGCAGCCCTTCCCAAGCAGCGTGGCTGTGTGCCTTCCAATCCCAGGGATCTTCTTAACCCTAAACTTACAACCAGCAGCATCTCTGTTTAGACATTTCAATGCAAAGGAAATGGTAGGAAGATTCTAGCTGCCCTTTCTTTCCATATGGCAGCAAGGTACTTCTGTTTCACAGGTTTCTGATAAAAAGAAAAAGGAAGGTTATGTAGCAACAGGATCTCAATGAATAATGAAAAAAAGATACATCACTAATCTAGTAAGAGAGCAGGATTTGGGTTTCCTTGTTTTATACCTCGTGGTTTTGAAATAATTGTCTTCTTTTGTGTAGAGACAGAACTCCAGACACTGCAGAGTAGACTGGTGCTGTTTGAAATGCCAGATGTGAAAACTGTATGATGAAAATAAATTTAGATAGGCTGTTTGGATCACCTATTAGACCTGTCTTTCCTATGAACCTTCCAAATGTGGTGAATACGAGCAGCTCATATTGAAAACACTATCAGGTAGAAAAAAAAGGTTTAATTAGAGTTTAATTAAACTTTGCTATTTGTTCTGATATAATCTGAACCTGGAGTTCTGTGGAGGACTTCAGGCTTTCCAGATGCAACCCCAACATATGTTACAACCATTCTTCACACTAACTATGCTGCATTTCCAGAATATAGAACAAATATCTTCTTTCATTTTATAAACAGAGCAGAGTTTGTTGCTGGTTCAATGACATATTAAATGCATCATAATTACAGCAGGCACAGATCACCACTGGCACCTTATGCTCTGTTTGGCACAGTCTGTCAGCTCTGGCCCCCAAATTCCCTGTGGGACAAGGTATGAGAGCAGGGATGGACAGTGGCCCAGTAATGAGTTGGGGTTTCCTGAGCTTGCCATGCTACCTGCCACCAAAATGTAGCCAGTCCAGATCAGTCTTGCTCAGAAAAGCCCTGGGAGGACAAACCCCTGTATATCCCCTCTCATAAACCAGTTTAGCCTTAAGCGTAAGAGCCTTACAATTACATAATTACATGTACTACTTGTAGTCAGGGAAAAAAAATTACTTATCTCCTCCGAGCAAAGGTCCAGCAGTCACTTGAGAAACAAAATGTCAAGCAAGAAGAATCTCCAGGGTACTGAGCATTCCCAGAGGAAGCGAAAGACACGTTTCTTCTCAGGAGATTTTTCCCACCGTCAGGAAGCGAGGCCGTCACGCAGTTTACATAACAAACAAAAAATGAAAAGATCCCAGTTGTGATAGATCAATTCAGCTGCTTTGGCGTGTGGTTGTTTTGTTTAGGGTTTTTTTTTTCTAGTTCATAATCCTGAAATTGAATACCCACAAGCAGTATTTTGTGTTATTTTCCTGGTGGTATGGATTTGTCTTTGACGTTTTAAGTAGAAGAGCCAGGATTGCAACGCCAAGTCTCATCAGTAGCAAAACCAGATTGCAGTGCACACATCCCCTTCTAACATAAATTGCTATACTATATGCAAGAACTTGGAAAACATGATAAGGCTGTAATAATTAACAGGAATTGGTTTACTACTGAATTCTCCCATGGAACATGTCCCAGAGTACAGGAAAGGGAGGCTCTGCCTGGCCCTTCATGCATCAGTTGAAACTGGATTTGGCACCAAAATGGAGAAGCACCTAGACACCCAAAAATTATGTCTTATTTTGATATAGCCTTTCTTTACTGAGAGCTAAAACCCAACATGCTGAGGAGAAGGATAATTCTTTGACTATTTTTTTTCTGTATAATAGAGTGAAATCCTGAAAAATTACTTTTCTTTCCTCAGTTTAGTCCTAAGTTTTGGTTACCCCCACATACACACGCACACCCCTTCTTTTCTTTTGACCATCATCTCCATTCCTTGTCCTTATGTGGGCAGCTCAGTGTCAGCCTGGAGCTCCTGCATTCTTAAATATTTGTGGCCTGAAATATGACTGAAGATGGTAGGCTTTTTTTTTTAATCCAAAGACTTAACCCAGATTTTAATGTCATGGTAAGACACTACTGGGAAACTTTTCATACTTTTATTTCTCTCTGAAATCAAGGAATCACAGAAGTTGAGACAGAGATATTTTACATTAGTTTTTCTCTTAATGTCATCTTGCATTGGATTCATGCCAAATCTTGCTGGAAATATGTTTATCACAGCAAATGAAACAGCCAAACTATTTCTGACAGACTATAGGATGAAAATACAGTCATAGGAATCAATTCTCATTGTTGGGCAAACCTGGAGGATGTTTATCAGACTGGCTTTACAAGAAACCTCCAAAGCATAGAAATCTACAGACATTCACTCCTTTCCACACAGTACAAAGCTTTGGGAGAGTGGAAAATTAGAATAAACATTATTTACTCTGTGTGTATCTATCTACATAAACGTGTGTGTGTATGTAGCTCAAGGAACAATTTAAGAAGTGAAGATTAACAGAAATGCTACATTAGTCCTGTATGTTGATCTTCTAAAAACTGCAATGGATTTCTTCTGAAAGCCTTTCAAAGATGGATTCTGACCTCCTCTGCACCACTGCCTGGATAGAAGAGGATGCAGAGCAGATGAAGACTCGTGGGAGAAATGCAACATATTCTCTCTGGTATAAGAGTATTAAGAAATAAGCCACTGGGACAGTATGCCATCCTTCAGTGATAAGGAACTATTGAATCATGCCTCCTGCAGAAGGGAAGGCATATTGCAGCATATTTCTTGTTGCACTCATCAGTAAAAAGAGTCAATCTTTCACCAGATATTTTTGCAATCCATGCTCTGAATTTCCCAGCAAACATATTTTTCCATAACTTAACAATGTCCTACATCAGTGGAAGATATGGGATAGCACCCCAATGAAACTCACTTGCCTTCCTGATGCTTTTGTCCCTGTTGGAGGACAGACAGAGCTGGTCAGGGACAAATAGACATATTCAATAAACACAACCATCATTTTGTTTGATGAAGAGAAAAATGGTGGGTGGGTGGGTGAAGAAACTTCCCTGACTTTTAAGGGTGGTTGGGAGCAGTGCATTCTTGAGCATCACTGGCCTGTCACCTTGGGGAGTTCATTTCCACATAAATCAAACGTTACCCACCCAGGGGAAAACTGTTCTCACTGTTACAAAGGAGGCAGCTGGCCAGCTCCAAAGGACGAAATCTCTATTCCTCTGGGACATATGGAAATGGTCATTACAAGACAATATTTATTTATAAACACACTTGGCCCCATCAATTGGGCTTGAATATATAGAGGAATGGAGCTCATTAGTAAGATAAAGCTTTCCCATGACCTATAGAGGACACTGCATAGGGACCACAGATGTTCCGTATTAATAAGCTGGAAAATTTATGTCAATGGCCATGAAAAGCTCAGTTGGAAAATAAGTAAATAAATAAATAAGGAGGTCACCAGCAAAGACAAGGTTAAGGACACTGGAAAATGGATCTTGCAGGATACTTAACCTTTATTTATTTAATTAAGCAGAACAGATCCTGACCTCAACTCCGTGTGTCTCCCCTGAGCGACTCTGCTGAAGTCACCAGAATTATTCTGGATTTGCACCAGCCCAGATGGCTGGTCTGTCACACAGGCAAACAATCCCCTGGCAGTGGGATTCACACAAGTGGTGCCAGGAAAGGGTCAGGCAAGAACTGCACTTCTGAAGTTCATGCCACTTTCTGATGCAGGTATGGAAAAATCCCTGCCCCTGTCAGACAGAGACTCAGCTTCAGCTGCATAACCTACATCATGGAGCTTCTTAACACAGAATTTATAGCCTGTTTTAAGATAGAAAGCCATAAAAAGCTACACAAAGCCATCCTAAGAGCAGATTTAGTTTTTATTTATGAGGGCCTAGTCTTTCAGACCCTCAGGTGGGTCTAAGCCCATGGATCCTCTGTTGACACCAAATGCAAACAGTACCACGTCCTGGCTGGCCTGGAGCTGTGAGTCAAGGGGTTTGTGTATCTATGCAGGCTGTGCTCGTGAAAGGCAGTGGACACGGGTAGGTGTTGTTTGCACAGCTGCAGGCTCACTGTGCATCTGGTCCAGCTCTCAGCCACCTTCTGCATCTCAGCTGCTTCTTCCTCCAGCAGACACAGAGCAGTCAGACCAGCACCTCCTCACCTATTTGCATGACAAGGGATCCTTTTCTGCCTAATTTTTTTTTTTTTTGGCTAGTTACCTGCCCTCAGAGCCTTCTGAGAGACACCCAGCAAGGATTACTGTTTTTTCCAACCACTGAAATGGCTCTCTCGTGTTTAGGTGTAACAGGACACTCACTACTGCAGCAGGAACTAGAAAAAAACACCACACCCTGTTTTTTCTAGCTAGGACTGAAAGAAGCCTCCTTAATCCTCAGGCACAGGAGTAAAACCACAGAACACTCAGGGTAATGAGGCATCTCCCCTTCACAGTTTTGCAGTGAAAATGCTACAGCTCTCAGAGCACCACAGATATGTGAGTGAGTGACTGACTGAAGTCTGAGTTCTTCTAAACCCTTGTGGTGCTGCAGGAGGTTTCCAGCTGTCCCTGGCTTCAGAAGGCCAGGCAGGCACTCCCAGAAGCACAAAACTGTGGGTTCACCTCTACTCTCCGTTTGCCTCACTTCCTATTTTTCCCTAAGCACCCGGACTACGAGCACCCCAAAACTGGAGCACCTACAAAAGAACTGAAATTATTGCTAAAAAACCAAGCAAACCACACTGCAATTCAACATTTTTTAGTATTGTTTCCCATGGTAGGATAGATATAAAATATCAGTCTGATTACTGCAGCTCTGGCTGGGTTTATTGCAAGGGCAATTACTGAAGAATTGTTTTCTTCTCCTGTGAGTTTACACTGACAGAAAAAATCCCACAATATTGCTTTACAGAGTCATTTTCTTTACATTTGTTTTGTTTCAACTTTGCTAGGATTTCTTTTTCAGAGCAGTTAAGAAGGAAGAAAAGAGTTGAACTACATAGAACTCTCTCTGGCCTATGAAAATTTAAAAAAAATACCTCTACTTTTCAATGCTGAGGAGAAAATTTTCATCTGGAGTGTAAGAATACCTGCAATATGGATTTTGTTGGATATGGTATATTCATTCAGTCTTTGATCCACTGAACCTTCATGGGGACTTCTGCAGTTGAAAGTAGAACAGGAGCCAGATGATTTATTATTACCAATAAAAATATAAGAAAGAAGTCAAACTATTGACCCCGACAGGAATTCCTGGGGCACACCACTGGTGACTGGGCACCAGGATGTTGTGGGGGACACTGTTGAATTCTTTCTTGAAGTAAAGCTAAAGAGTAGCCACTGATTTTCCCATGTCTACCAAGCTGGTCATCTCAACACATGAGGTTTCCCCTTTGTAAATCTGTGTCTGACTGTTCCTAATCACCTTCTTTTCCTTTATATGTCTGGAAATAATTTTCAGGATTAGTTGCTCCCTCACCTTCTCAGGGATTAAGGTGAGGCTGGCTGGCCTGTAGTTCCCCAGAAGGTCCTTTTTGCCCTTCCTGAAAATAGAGGTGACATTTGCTTCTTCCAGTCCTCAGGAACCTCCAGTCATTGCCACAGCTTTTAAAAAATAATTCAGGGTGGCCTCACAATGACATTGGCCAGCTCTTGTGGGAGCAACTCATCAGGATCTATGGACTTGTGTGTGTCCAATTTATTTCTTTGTTTGTTTTTATATTTACTCATTTGTTTTAATAATTTTTTGACTCATTTATGTTCTAGAAATAGTGGTACTGAACTTGTCATCTCACAGTCTGCAAATTTTTATATCCACACATCATGCCTTTAACAGAATTAGAAGTTAAGGACTTCTTCCACACTGCAATCTTCACTCTCTGCTTCATCCCTCGAGGTATTCTAGTTTATAAAACAGAAAGAACAGAACATTAAGTAATTTTAATGTTGTTCTTTGCAATGAGAGCCCAGACTTGGTCTGGTTTTGTGCATTATTTACTCTTGCTCCCCTTGAAACAACCACCAGTATTTCCAAACTAGCACTCATGTTTTGATGCAAACCTCTCTGGTTCTCACAGAGACTATCCTATGTGGAATTAGAAACACTGATTCATCCCAATCAGCCTGTGCTCAGAGCTGTTCCTCATCTTCCCATGTGAGATTCTGAGTAACCCACAAAGGGAAAAATACTATCACAATGCAACCTTTCTTTCCAAACCCTCTGCTGTCCCTGGATACCACAGGAGCCCGTTTCAACCACAGTAGGGACAAGGATATTTATGTTGATTTATGCTTTCCTATCTGCTCTCCCTCAGCCACAAGCAACTGATCTCCAAGCAGACGCATCATCTCTGCGTATCTCTGCTCCCCAACCAGACAGTGACCTATTTCAGGAGTCAAACTGAGATCAAATGTTACTCTCTGGTTCATGGGTAAAAAAAAAAAAAACAACAAAAACCAACTTTGAATCACAAGAGGAACTAGAGGAAAAAGAAGTCCATCCTGC